GTTACTCTAATAGTGGGACTAATTATCAGTTATTTAACAAACAAGAACGATCCTCCAGTTGATAAAGAATTATTAAGTCCTGTAATTCGTAGATTTTTGTCARATGACACTAAATCTGAAATTGACAATCGAGAATTGAAAACTCTTATGGCGAAAGAGTCAAATACTCAGGAAAAATAAATTTGTTAAGGAGCTCTTTAGTCTTCTTCTTCTTATTATTATTCGAAATACAATTCTTCAATTTTAGTGCCTTGTTATACAAACTTTTTCGGTTAAACACCACATTAGATGTTTTGGGAGTTCTATCTAAAATTTTGTTTATAGCCATAATCGGTTAAGTCCTACTCAATAAAAATATTTTTAAGATGTCGGCACTTTCGGTTACACCGAAAAAAATAGCCCATATTATGAAAACTACATCTACATAACTATTGGCTTTATGATTTTCCAGAATTTTTTTTAAGACGGATACAAACGGGTTCCAGGCAAACAGTTTGATGACTTTCATAAATGTTGCAACCCTAAACAATTTTTCAAAGTAATTTTTTTTAACAATTTATTATATCATGTTGTGTCATCAATCGAAGAAAGATTTGATCTTTTACAAACTCATAATGATGAATTTGGTTTTCTTTACCACCTTAATGATGTTAACGATGACGAACTTTTACAACATTGTAAAGATTTGCATATAAAATTAAGCGACAATATAACAAACAAGAGCGATATTGATGGTTTACAGTTATATGAGGAAATCAAATATTTACGAATGTTTGATGTTCCTTATGAAGAAAATATTTATAACATTGTAAAATTTTTATTTTAAAAGGTTATTCATGAAATAGCTCCAAATTTGGTTATAGCCATATAGTAGCTTCTGTAGAACGTTCTTTTTCAAAATTAAAATTAAAAAAATATTTAAGGTCCACAACTGGTCAAGAAAGGCTATCCAGTTTAGCCACAATTTAAATAGAAAGTGAAGAGTGTGACAAAATTTTAGTGAAATAAGTCAAAAATTTGCTTCTTTAAAAGCAAGAAAAGCAAAATTTTAAAGCTTTTAATTTTGCAATTGTTTTAATTTTTGTTTATTGTATTTTGTGCTCATGCTTATACGTATATTCCTGTTAATTAATTTGTATTTTATCTTTTGTTAATTTGTTATGTTGAAATTTTAAAATAAATATGTATATGTCTGTTGTCTTTTTTTATCTGGAACTTTTATTTATCTGTTCCTACACCTTACAATTATTATGTATTAGAAAAGGACTAGGATCACCCCTGCCATCAAGTATTCCTGTCTTATGGTTTTCTATTTCTACACTCAGTCCAAAAAATTTGCGTGAAAATATGGACCAGATTTATCTAAGGCTTTTACAGATTGTTTCATTAATTGCGGTTCATATGCCGAGATGGAAGAATCACTTTTTCACTTGAGACCAAGGGTTCATTAACAACATTCTCCTTTCTTTCAATGGCGAATTTTTTTGGACCCAATGACTAGACTTGGCTCTGCTGTCCCATAAACACATAAAAACAGGGATTTTGGTATATTAACTCTGATGTTCCAGTAAAAGTCTTAATTGATTTTTTGAAAAAAAAAAGTGTAACAATTTTGTTCTCGATGTAGATAAAATTTTATGTTAGTATCTCGGGAAAGACGTTTCTTTTCTTTCAACCTCGATGCCATCAATTCAGCACACTACTCCTGCATCAAAATTAACAAACAGTTTTTTGAACATTTAAGACAAATTTTTGGTAGACACTGGTGCTGATCTAAGTTTACTACCCACAAAATGTTTTAATTTTTTAATTATAATTGAAAAACTTTGTAGAAAAATTTATATAAAATTTAAAAAATTGTGAAGATCGAATTTGCATTGTGTTCTGAGTTTGCAAAATAGTCATTTTAGAAAGCGAATGCAAAACAAAACCTAATATTAGTGAATAATTACTCTCATTTACATTTTAATGTTATGATTTTTTATTGAATGGACATTTTAAATGCGTTTGTTAAAGCGATCTGATTTAAGCAAATACACAGCAATAAACTGAAAATTTTCAAAAGCGTAATTAATAAAATTAACGTGGAAAACATCAGATTATACATATAAATAACAAAACAAATGAATACTGAAACACTCTGTATATAGATAAAAAGGTATTACGTAAAATACTAGATTAGGTATAATCAACATAGTATTAGGGATAATCAACATAGACCATTAAAAGGGTCACTTTATCCAGTTCTAACTTTTCAGGTATAGTGAAAACAAGTCATGTCTGGCTTTTTCTGGTACGACTACCTCATATTTTTCATAGTACTAGCCATTAGTTCCGGTACTGGAATTTACTATGGCTGCTTTGGAAGTAAGCAAAAAACAGTTAAAGAGTACCTTTTGGGCGGCAAAAAAATGACTCCTCTACCAATCGCAATTTCGGTAGCTGTGAGGTATACTTAGAATTTCTAGTTTGGATTCAAAATTCAATTTTTAAAACTGTAGTCACTTTTCTGCAATCACTATAATGGGAGTACCAACCGAAGTTTACAAATTTGGAGCATATTTCGTCTACACTATGATTAGTTTTGTATTGCTGGGAATTACATCTATTTCTGTATTTTTCCCCGTTTTTTTCAAACTGCAAGTTACCAGCATTTATGAATATCTAGAGAAACGCTTCGACAATAAAACCAAAGTTCTTGTGTCATTTTTCTTTATTGTGTCGGAGGTTTCTAACATGGCGATTGGTACTTATGCACCCTCTCTGGCACTCTCAGCGGGTAATTGTTTGTTTTCAAATTTTTTGACTCAACTGTTTCTTTTTTTGTATTAGTTACTGGCTTTCGTCTTTATTACATAATTATTTGTGTGTTTGGTACTTGTATTTTCTACACTACAATCGGGGGACTAAAAACTGTCGTATGGACTGATATTTTCCAAATTGGAATTATTTTATTATCTCTACTTATGATTTGTGTAATCGGTTTAAATACCACTGGAAAT